CTCCTGTGATTGTGGATTTGTTGATTTCTCCTTGCATTTCTGAGTACTTGTTTTTATATATTTTCAGTCTCTCATTAGATGCTTAAAGATTTGTGACTTTTAGTGGAATGTTCTTTTATCAGTTTGAAAATTTCCTTTGTGTCATAAAATGCTTTTCATATTGAATTCTATTTTGTCTGCTATTAAATATTTCCAAGCCTGCTTTTTGTAACTTTATTTTGGACTAGGAGGAAATGCATGCACATAATATAAAATTCAATTACAAGAAGAATATATGCAAATCAAAAGGTTTTCTTCCGCACCATTCCCTAGTTTCCCAGTTCCCCTCCCAGACACACTGTTTACGTGTTGTGTCATTCTGATGCATCTCATGCTAACTTCTGTATATGCAAACAGTTTTTCTTTCTTTACACAGACATTGGCATTTACCACTGTGCTATTTTTTTGTGCCTTTTTTTATGAACATGATCAGATCAGATGTTTTCAAAAATAATTCAGATCAATGCATATAGAACTCCCTCATTCTTTTCAAAGGCTACAGATTAGTCCCATGATTGATTGGACTGGGTTTTATTGATAAAAATAATCCTGCAGTCAAGTTCCTTTGTGTATTTATCATTTTGCACCTGTGCAAGTATTCCTAGATACAGATACCTAGGATTGAGAGTACTACATCAAAAAATAAACAGTTTTTATTTTACAGGCTATAGCTAGGTTGCTTTCTTTTCATTATTTGCCTACTATATCTTGAATTTTTTCTGTGTTCTTTATTTTAACTATATCTCTTATGTCTAAATTTTGTTTTGTCATCTAATATGAGGATTTTTTTAATAGATGCTTTTAACCCATTCATCTTTGTATAGATGTACTCTTAAAGACTTATCTTTTATTTATAGTTGTAGTATTTGGGGTTTTAAGCTTTTTATTGGGTCAATTACTTGCATAATTTTTTTCCTTCTAATGTTCTTTGAAACTTACACATTTATGTCTGTCTTTCTAATGATTACCCTTAAGATTATAATGACCATTTTAAAATGTTTTCTTCAACATCTGGAACAATGCTGTCCAATAGAACTTTCTGTAATGCTGGTACTGTTTCCATATCAGTGAAATCCAACATGGTAGCCACTAGCCACGGAAGACCTAAAATGTTACTGTGACATAGAAACTGAATTTTTTTTATCTGTTTAAATAGTCACAGTGGTAATGGCTACTGGACAGCTCACATCTAGTTACTTTTTCCTGTACAAGATAAGCACATTAGCCTGCTTTCTCTCGCTCACAAACCCCTCCAACATTTCCCATATAGAAACATATCACTAAGATTTTTATTCCAGATAATACTTATTTTATATTCCGCATCAAAAATTATCCTTAAGTTTTGTTTCCTTTTGTTGCATATCCCTTTTGGATTCATTTTTAGTTTTGCCGAGTCCTCTGATTATTCTTTCAGGCAGTGGCTATAGAGGATGAGATTTGGTTCCTTGTTAGTCCATCTC